TTCCTTCCTTCCTTCCTTCCTTCCTTCCTTCTTTTTTTCTTTCTTTCCTTCCCGTCCATCTTCCCTCCCTCCCTCCCTCTCTCCATCCCTCCACCCATCTCATATATGCTTTGCGCTTCTGTTACGCCCCTAACATCAGAGTACGATGCAGAAACAGAGATTCATGATGAGTCTCTCTGGTTAGATGAGGGTGCCTGCTCCGTGTCTTCAGCGCACTCCATTTTTTAACCTGTCCTCGAGAACAAGCGACCACATTCTAAGTCGTGCCTTCCAGCTGTTTGGCCCTCAACTCCCCTAGCACCCACCCAGCCAGCCAATGGATCAAAGATGGAGAAGGTTGCTCAGAGTGATGGGAATACTATCCACTCAGCCGCCCAGCACAGTTAGTTCCTAAACGTTTGCAGGGTGTGCTTCTGCACATACCTAACGTGTGTCGTTGCCTCCTTCCTCGGTGGCTCGCTCGGCAGCTGCTTCCTGCGGGAGCGAAGGTCCTGCGGATCATGCCCAACCTTCCTTGCGAGGTGCAGTCAGGGGCTGTTCTTCTCGCTCGAGGCACCTCTGTTGGAGAGGAGGAGGTTTCTCTGCTGAAGACGCTGCTGTCTCCGTGCGGGCTGTGCGAAGAGGCTCCCGAGTCCTACATCGACATTCACACTGCGCTGAGCGGCAGCGGCGTGGCTTACGTGAGTGCTGCTTCTGTTGTGCCCTGAATCAGCCTCTTGTATTTGTTGCAAATTGCAGGTATGGCGTCCGGCCTCCCACGGTCCCATCAGGCGGGGGCTTTTTTAAAAATCTAAGTTTCTAGGCCATATGCAAGTGTTCCCATCAGGTTCTTTTCACGTATTTTCTCTAAGCTGGTGTTGTCCTTAGCAAGCAAACAAACAAAAAATAGAAAAATAAGCCTTGGGTGATTGCCAAAAATAACCAGTGTCCCCCACCTTTCCTCATCCTGGTCTCTAAAGAAGTCGGCTTGTTGCCTTTGCTTATTAGGAATTCTGAGAGTTGTAGTCCCGGCACTTAGGCAGACACCAAGCTGCGGAAAACTGCAGGAAGTATTTCGTGATGGAGGTGGGTAGGTGTGTTTTGGGACTTCTTTGCAAGTTGAGGGGAAGTAGAGTTCATTCGGTTGCTCCTATTCTCCGGTCTCTTCCCGTCGACCTCCAAAGCTTTATTCTTCCTTTTATGGTTTCTCTCCCACGTTTGGGGGTCCATCTGTTGACCGTTGAACCTCTCCTGCGGATGACCTGGAGAAGGATTCACCCATCAAGATGCTTCGATGGATTGTGGTTTGTTTAAGCTTTATTCTTCCTTTTATGGTTTCTCTCCCACGTTTGGGGGTCCATCTGTTGACCGTTGAACCTCTCCTGCGGATGACCTGGAGAAGGATTCACCCATCAAGATGCTTCGATGGATTGTGGTTTGTTTCTTCCTCTGCCACAGGTCTATATGTTCGCGGAAGCACTGGCGGAAGGTGCCGTGAAGATGGGGATGCCCGGCCCTCTGGCCCACAAGATTGCAGCTCAGACTCTGTTGGTAAGGGGCTGGGATGGCAGGACTGGCGTCTCAGTTCACGCGCCCTCCAAGTCTGCTCCAAGGCTGTTCCTTCTGAGTCACGTTTAGCCCAGTGTCTTTGAGGACTGAGACATTTGTGGGGTTTAAACCTTTTTAGAGCAGTGTTTCTCAGCCTTGGCCCCTTGAAGATGCGTGGACTTCAACTCCCAGAATTCCCCAGCCAGCCATGCTGGCTGGGGAATTCTGGGAGTTGAAGTCTTCACATCTTAATGTTGCCAAGGTTGAGAAGCATTGTTTTAACGACAGGCTAAGAAGGCCCGCTGTGAGCAAAAATGGAGGGCCTGGCCAAATCCTTTTCCCTAGAGGATAGCAAGTAGGTGGAACTTTACGGCTTATCCAACAGTTGTTTTAAATACAAAGAAGCTGTATCTAGTACCACCCATGACCTCTCCTGGAACTCACCTGGAAAGGGGTGAGATGCGAGGAGGACTGTCTGAGTCACTGGCACTTTTGCTTAGTCCCCCATGAGCCTGGGTGCAAGTTCATTCCGGCACAATTGAAAGAAATCTTGGTTTTGCCTGGTTTCTACATCGTCTCCCACCCTACTATCGGAGGGAAGGGCGCGTCAGCGTCTATCGGTTGCAAGATGTTTGCAATCTATGTATTGCAAACATACATAGCTTTATATAGCAAAGAAGCTACATAAATTGAATAAATTAAATAATCGATAAATAAATCTGATGCCCTAAAGGCATAAGGAAGGACGTGTTTTCATGGCCCAAAACATTTGGCAGTTCTGAGACCACCGCGTCTGTGCAGCCACCCAGTTAGGTAGCTTTATGGCAGAGCGAGGCCGCGCACCTGTGGCTTAGGATCCGTCCTTTCCCTTAATCTGGAACCTCTGATTTCTCTCCTCTCCTTCCAGGGGGCAGCCAAAATGATCCTGGAAACGGGGCAGCACCCAGCGGTTCTGAGGAGTGCCGTTTGCACTCCCGGTGGCACAACCATCCACGCCTTGCACGAGCTGGAGAAGGGGTCCCTGCGAGCCACGGTCATGAATGCTGTGGAGGCGGCCACCAGCCGGGCTCGGGAGCTGGGCAACAGATAGCAGGCCTGCCTGGGAGTTGGCGATACCACTTTTCCTGTCCAAGAAATCCCCCTGGGTATGGGTGGGCCTCCCCCATCAGCTCCACCTCTGCAGCTGGAGAACATGGGACCATCGCTTTCTACCAAAGGGAGATTGGCAAGGCTCTCTGGCATTGGGGGTGCTCATGGACATTTGCCAGGGGTGAGGGTGGGGGTGGCATCATGCAAATGATGCAGAGTAGGTGACTGACAAAAGTTGCAATGTATGATGGTATCGTGAGATGCATGTGGCATCGTGCCAGCTTCCAGACAGCCGGGTACCTTTTATGACCCTGTATGATCCATTCCAAACGTTTCCGTTGGAGGAATAAACAGCAGTAGCCCTGTTGCTGGCTAAGAGTTTGCCTGCTTCTTCTGTCTCTGCCTTGCCTTCTTGAGAAGGCAAGAGACATTTAGCAGCTGTTTTCCAGGCCTGGTGGTGGTGGGGGCGGCAGCAGCTGCAACGGAGGTCTGTTGACAGAACAGCGCTCTTGAGCTTGAGAAACCTGCTTCTTGTCTCAGCCGGTTCTCATCTCATCTCATCTCACCTCACCTCACTGCCGTGATCCTCCACTCCAACCCTCGGTGGCCTGAGTCAGCACAGCCAGCATCTGGTGTGGCAGTTTGATCACATCCAGTTGTTCAGGATCCAGTTTTGCTGGTTGCAGAACTCTCTTGGAGTTTTGTCCCATTCCTAACCCCAACTGTCTATTTTTTCTCTTAGTTATTTTTCTGTCTTCTCCCCAACCCCCCCGTTGTTTTGCCAACACTTTCCAGAACTAGGAGTATCTTCTCTACAGCATCTATTCAAAGCGTAAGTGGAAACTTCTTTCATCGCCCTGTAGGGCTGGGTTCTCATTTATGGGGTAAAAATTTAGCCCATGAAACCTTCCATGGTTACAACCTTGAAATTAGCAACTGTGGTCCTGGAGAAGTGAGCATGATCAACAGCCTTCATATAATGGGGCTTTGGGGAGTCAGCTTATTCCTCTTCACTGACCTCAGACCCCAATTATCGGTTGGAGGAAGGGACCAATTGCTGGTTCTCCCTTGGTTACGTGGCATTAAGGGCATGGTGCGGACCCTATTGGCTAGGGAATTTTGGTTGGTGCGGTCTAGGAGGAGAGCCTTTTTGCTGCTGCCCCTGCCCTGTGGAATATCTTGCCCCCTGAGATGAGAAGGCCCCCACTCTTTTGGCCTTCAGGAGGAGCCTTAAGACCTGGCTCTGCTGACTCGCTTGGGGGTCCAATGGGGACTCCTGACACTCGGGGTGGTTAGTGCCCTGAGGATGCTCTCTCTGCCTTTTAACTTCATTTGTAGTCTTTTTAACTTTCTTTTGTGTTTTTAACTGTTTTTATGCTTTTCATGTGTGAGATGCCTAGAGTCACTTGTATAGTGAGATGGGCGGCATACAAGTTTGATTTATAAATAAAATAAATAAACAAACCCATTAGCACCTCCCCCTAATTACAGGTTTAGGACATTGCCTTCTGTAGCTTTTTAATTCTTTTTAATTAGGAAAAAACACGCATGGATCTACAGCCCACAACAATTTGGCCTAGAGGGAGTAAGTGATCCAAAAATCAGGAGTGTGGTAGCCCCTTTTCCAACTCACAAATTTTATTCAAAACAGGAATCCTGCTTCGGTGATCCGAAGGTGATCCTGCTTCGGGCACATGATCAAGTAGGTGATCCTGCTTCGGGCACATGATGCCAAGACCCAGCTCTCTGGAGAAGGCTCTGATGCTGGGAAAGGGGGAAGGAAAGAGAAGAAGAGGACGATTGGCAGCAAGGGGGACGGACTCCATTACAATGCCTATGGGTGCACTGTTGGAAGACTTGAAAGACAGGTTAGAGACAGACCAAAGAAGAGAAATCTTATCTATGTGGTCACTAAGAGTCAGCTACTACCTGAGGGCACATAACCAGTCAACATGAAGACCTAACTCTCTTGAGAAGTCTATAATGCTGGGAAAGGTGGGAAGAGGATGATCAACAGCAAGGCGGGTGGACTCAATTATAGTGGTGATGGGGCACCATTGGAAGACCTGAAAGACCAGGTTAGGATCAGATTGCCATGGAGGAGATCTATTTCTCTGGTTGCTAAGAGTCCGCACTGTAAGGTTTGCAACCCTGAATCCCACAGAAATCCAATGCCAAGAATTCAGGAGGAGGCTCTTAGAAAGAAACAGCTTTTTATTCGGCTGAGTAAAGGAAGCTTGGTGGACAACAACCCAAAGCATAGGCCGCAAATATGCCAGGGTTTGCCACATCACCGGAAATACAAGCTCAGTTTTTATAGTTTACAGGGACAAGGCAGTTTGAACTGCAGTT